CGAGCCCGATCCGACGGTCCACGCCGCATCGTCCGCCGATGACTGCCCGACGAGATCTTTTGTCACCGGGCTGCCCGAGGAGTCAGTGGCGATGGCGTTGCTGCCCGACATGCCGCCATTAGGCGAAAAGCCCACGGCGAACCACCCAGCAGCCTTGGCCCCCGATGCCACCACGGCCATCTTGATTGTCCGCCCCTTGGTGGCCTTCCAGTGCAGCACCAGCCTGCCAGGGGGTGCGGGGAGGGGGGATGTGCGGGGGAGGGGGGATGTGCGGGTAGGAAGGGGGCAGAAGCGGGTGGAGAGATGGGGAAGAGGATGGAGGGCGGAGAGCGTTCTAAGAAAATGGGAAGCCCACGGCGAACCACCCCGCCGCCTTGGCTACCGATGCCACCACGGCCATCTTGATTGTCCGCCCCTTGGTGGCCTTCCAGTGCAGCACCAGCCTGAGAGGGGGATGAGGAAGCGGGTGGAGCGAGGGGGATGAGGAAGGAGGCCGGAGGATGGGGCAGCGAGAAGCCAACGGCGAACCACCCTGCGGCATGCTATCACGGCCATTGCACTGTCCGTCCCTTGGTGGCCTTCAAGTGCAGCACCAGCCTGCCGGGGGGAGTGACATGCGCGGGGATGGAGGAATGCGGGGGGGGGAAGGGGGAATTCGCGGGGAGGGGGAATTCGCGGGGATGAGGGAATGCGCGAGGATGTGGGCGGCGAAAGCGGGTGGAATGCGGAAGTCGCACGCCGGAGCTCAGCGATCCAGCTCGCGCGACACGACGGCCGCTATTCCAGCGGGCCGCTGTTCCGAAGCAGTGTATCCCTTGAGGTTCGACTTTTAAGTCGACTCAAAACCCACGCTGTCCGTTACTGAGGCCGCAATCTGCCATCTGCTCTTACCCGGATGTGAGACCGGCCTTGGACGTGTATCCCTTGAGGTTCGACCTGCCGCAGCTGAAGCGGCCGAACAGCAGCTGGCGGCGAATGTTCGTCGCGAATGACGGCGCACGAGGGCTCTGCGACGACGGTTCGACGCGCGTGGCGACGGCCTGCGACGCGAGGAGCAGCACGCAGCTGAGAGCGAGCAGGGAAAGCGCGAGAAGGCGGGCCATGGATACGGCGATCGGAGGCGATCAGAGGCGACCAGAGGCGACTGGAGGCGACGAGAGGCGACGCGAGCGCGGCGAATAGGCGACGCGATTCGACAAGTAGAGTCAATCTTCACGAAAATATGACAAATTGCTCGAAGCGGCAAGGGGCGGGTGAGGAGTTGGATACGGCTCAACGTGGTTTCTCGGACCGAAAGGCTCAGTGATAGTGGTGGCGGGAGGGAAGCGTGGACCGTGGTGGGCGGCGTAGCGTGGCGTTCGTGCTATCTGGTCGGGTGCGAGGCAGTTGGGAGGCGTTAGTGACGAGTATGCTTGAGCGATGCTGTGATCGTGTTCTACATTTTCTACGTACTTATAAACGACGGGTCAACGAGAGCCGTAAACCAGAGACAGAGAGGAGGGGGAGGAATCAGGCGAGGCACGAGCGTGGGAGGTGGAGGATGAGGAAGGCGTGTGTGGGGGAGGGAGATGGGGAGAAGGGGGGAAGCGGGTGTCGCGAAACAGCTGCCAGCTCATCGCAGCTTGGTTGAGCAGCTTTGACGAGCTTGTGGCGAACTAGCCAGCGGCCTTCGTTGGGTTATGACGAGTCGCGACGACATGCAAAACGATGTCGCCATCTGGGTGGATCAACCAATCGACTCGTAGAAGTCGCCACGTCAGGCTACGGGAACCTCCTTCCTGCGTGTGCTGCAGTAAACACGGCACGGTCGCAGAGGTAACAAGCACGTGTCATTGGTGCCCAAACAGGTTTACTGGGTGGAGAAGATGCGCGCTTCTAGTGCGTCTAGCTAAGTGTCTGTGAGCATTCTTTAGGGGAGTTTGTTGGGTAAAGTACACCTATTCTCGATAATTTCACACCCCCTACCCTTTTTTCGTAGGTACCCTTTACGTATTTCGGTCTGATGCGACGGATACCCAGAGATTGAGGGACTATTGAAAAAAACCGGAAGGAACTCTAGTGAAGGGTTTTGTTGGGTTTGGAGTGCCTTTGACATTCTGATTTCCCCGCAATTCGCGAGAGTGGGTGGGAAACTCGTCCAGATGTATGAAAACGTCGTCAACTACCCTCCGAAAACAAGTGACTAAGGGTGTTTACCCCAGGGTATGAGATTAAGGGGTATGAAATTATCGAGAATAGGGTGATACTGTAATCACCGACCTATCCTACCCTACGTAAAGAAACACACGTATCGCGGTCGACACGAATCAATGATAGGTCTTATGTGTCCATCAACGAATGGACTGTGGTTGTATGAAAGCGTGAGACGCGGCTTGGTTCCGTCAGAATGTCAACACTGCTTTCCTGGTCGGTGGCCAAGCTGGGGAAAAGAAACTCACTAAAAGACCATGGTTATGTGAATCGCCGTCTTAGAAGCAGCAGTGTTCTTGCAGTTTCAAACATAGAAATCACTATGATCCGAGTATTCAGATGTAATCCAGACACGCAAAAACAGCTCATGATATATATATATATATGATATAATTACAGTACTGTGTACATCTCCTAATTCCCCCCGCGTGTGCTTTGCGCAACCAGGGGTTTTGTGATATACAAATATTTACAGTTCTAGGCTACTAGCATGCACCGCCTCGCTTCCCAGCCATTCTCTCCTTCCACTGCCACAAGGCGTCCCTCCAGTGCCTCTGCTTTTGCCTCTTAGCCACTCTCCCCACCTGATGCGTGCTTCTGGCAACATCAGAGCTCTCGCAGCTCACACATCTCTTGTCGCTGCATTGACTGCCACAATGGCAGGAATCCTCACACGGTGGGTCTACATCCATTCCTGTATCACCCATTGTGGTAACACCCGTGTCAACAGGAACTTCAAGGGGAGCCTCAGCCTCCTGTGGTTGAGTACTTGTGAGAATGTCGACCCTGTCTAGCAACTTCGTCAGCTTCCTGGCCATGTCCCGACGCAAGTTCCGAACGTCCTGGTTCGGGGACTGCACCTCGTCCAACCGAAGCAGCCAGCTCATGATCGTCTCGCTCACCCGAAGCTTTTCCAAAGGGTCAGAAACCATCTTAGCCACGAATTCGTTATCCCGAAGCTGCGCGTCCATCTCGTGAACCAGTTTCCGAACGTCAGCTATGGACCGAGCCAGTTCGAGAGGCTTGCCTTGGCGCACAGAATAGCCCCGCCATACTGCTTGCAACTTCCGAGCAGCATCGTCAGCCGATAATGACGATACGCGAGCGATTTTAGCAGCAGGAATTCCGGCGACGCCCGCCATTGGCGACGCTGCCGGCGTCTCGGGGCGCTTGCTACTATTGTTTGCTGGGTGCTGGACGGGTATTTGATGGGCAGCTGCTTGCTCCTGGTGCTGTGATTGTCGAATCTTTGTCTCATTCACGTCGTGCTGCGCCCCTCGCGCGTACGCTGCATGCCTTCGCGCGTCAAGCTCGTGCGCTTGCTGCTTCCGCGCAATCTCATGTTTCCGTGTGTCATTGCGTCGTCTCTGCGTCATATTCCCAGCTGATGAGTCAAAACCGTTGTCGAATAGGAACGGATCGCCAAAAAGCGGAGACGAAGAGGAGGCAAAGTTCCAAGGTGACGGTTGGGAATGACAATGGGTCGGGTAAGACGATGCGAGAAGGTGAGGTTGCTGTCGCTCGAAAAGCAGATCTGACATACCGAATGCCATTCTCTGAAGACCGTCTATCCAATGAGGTGCTGGCGAAGCTGGTACGATTTTGAAAATAAGAGTTCGTCTAAAGCTTTGAGTTCGTCGTAAGCTGGTATGAAAGTAGCTGAAGGTGTTGTAGGTTTTTGAATGATGTCTCCTGTCAGAATCCCAACCACTAGACCATTGGGATAAAAGGGCTTTTTTTTCAGTAGCGGGTCAGTGCGCCCATAACCCCCCAGGCAAACGCGCCTGTAACCCCCCCTAAGATCGATCGGGGATCTCACAGTGTAGCTCTACTGACACCCCCCCACACTGGGAGGCCCAGGACTGAGCACAGTGGCAACGGCCAACATGTGCATACACCGGGATTCGAACCCGAGACCGCTCTGATACCATGTCAGAATCCCAACCACTAGACCATTGGGATAAGAGGGCTTGTTAAGTAGCGGGTCAGTGCGCCCATAACCCCCCAGGCAAACGCGCCTGTAACCCCCCCTAGGATCGATCGGGGATCTCACAGTGTAGCTCTACTGACATCTCCGTCACTCGCCAATTGTATTTATAGAAGTGGCATGAATGATGACCGTGGTTCTAGAACCACCTCGGACTGTCGAGATGCAGCGAGAAAGCTCTGGTTAGCTCGGACCGAGCAGGTTTGCGAATCCGCGTGGTGCTTCGGGAATTCGCGTGTTTTTTCGCGAATAAGCGGTGTTTCGCGATTCCGGATATTGTTTCGCGAATTCGCGTGGTACCCTGCAAATCGAGGTGGTGCTTCGCCAGCCGCTTGCAACTTTGCAAAAACGCGTGGAAAATTGGGAAAGAGATGGCCTTTGCCCAGTGTGGTATTCCGTGAAATGCCGTGCCCGCTTCGTTGCGGAGCTCTGCGACGGGCAGGGCTGGGAGGGAGCAAGGGGGTGCATCGCGAAGCAGCAGTATTAGGGCAGGTTACCTCACGATCTGGTTGCGAGCGAATCAGAGGTCGTTCAGTTGTACTTTATGTTACAGTCGTTCAGAGAGTGTAAGATTTTGTAGGTAGCATATGCACACCAACACACCAAAGTGGGTCCATTCACCAATTACTGCCCTTTCAGCTGCGAGGTTCTCAATCAGTGAACATTAATCGATTCATTGATTCTATCATCAGCATAGCACGTTAAACAAAAGCATTCACCTCTCATAAAATGTACACTACTGCACAAAGCCGGACTGAGAACCTAGAACCTAGAATTGAGCTGCCGAATCTCTGAGAATTGTGCTGCAGTTACAACATGATGCTCAGCCAATGAGCTCGGAGATAGGTGGCCTCTCCATGACATACGCAGACTGCTTTGCCGCCTTGGCCAATGAGGGATCGATGCCTGGAAGATACGGGATCTGCAATAGGAGTGTACGCCGGGAGAGGAGGAGAGAGGTGGAAAAGGCGGAGGCAGGGATAACGTGAGATGCAATAAGAGGAGCGAGCGAGGGTGGGAGAAAGGGAGAGTGGGGACATGGAGGAGAGTGAGAGAGGTAGGGCATGTGACAAGGTATCCGGAAGCAGAGAGATGATGCTTTACATGGGGCAATGATGCTCGTGATAGATTGAGATGATCTTTGGGAGACGGTAGTTGGCTGGAGCAATGAAGTGGCACAACAAACATGCGAAAGTATATCATTGGTGCGCCTTAGCAGCCGCGCAATGTCCCCCTCGTCCAGCCCCGCACAGTCAGCGATGAGCTGGAGCCACGTCACACCCTGCGCCCACGCCTCCACCACTCCAGCGAACTGCGCGTCCAGGTCAGCAGGGATTGCCACGTTGGCAACCAGCTGGAGCTGCATCAGCCAATCGCGACGCTCTTCAGCTTCGTACACCTCCTTTTGCACCTCCCAGGAAGGCTCGTACGGGAAGGAGGGCGAACTGGCGGTGCGAGGGTGGGGGGAAGGGGTAAGTGAGACCAAAGGGCACGGCATAAGGGATAGGGCAGATGCGAAAAGCAAGTTCTGGATCGACTCGAAACAAACCCGCACATACGCCCACTCCTGCACATCCTAGGAAGGGTCATAAGGGAAGGAGGGCGATCTGGAGGGTGGGGGGAGGAGGAGTTGAGACCAAGGATGATATGAAAGGCTAGGGCATTAGGGAGAGGGCACATGTGGAGGACAAGTTGTGAGACGTCTCAGACCATGCCTCATACACCCACTCCCGCACCTGCCAGGACGGCTTGTAGGGGAAGGAGGGCGAACTGGCAGGGTGGGTGTTAGGATGCAACAAAAGGGAATGGGCAAAACGGGAGAACGAGGGAGGGTTTATGGTTGACACCTGAAATTTCTCACCTCTGCACTAACACCCGTCACCTGCTGCTGTCTCCCGTACGCATGTGCATGCCTTCAGAACCCACCACAATGACTCACCTGCCGTCGCCTGTGCGCATGCGCATGCCTTCAGACACCAGAGCAGCGCAGCACCCCGCTATGGCCGGTGGAGAGAGGCGCGGGAGGGAGGGGTGCGAGAGCGCCACTGCGATCCACAGCTCGTTCACCCCTCGCACCTGCGTGAATGGAGAGACGGAGGGGTGAGAAGAGTTTTGGTGAGGGGAGGGACGTTCAGAGGCAGCTCACGACATGGGTGGGGGGGAGGGGTGCGAGAGTGCCACCGCGATCCACAACTCGTTCACCCCTTGTACATGCGTGCAGGGGAGGGAGGGTGGAGCAGATAATAGGCAAGGAGAGGGAAGTTCTGAGGCAGTTCACAACACGGAGCCAGGCGAAAAAACGGGAGAGGTGCATGAGGGAGTGATGTGTGAAAGAGCGCCACTATGCCACCCCGCTCCTCTACCCCTCACACCTGTAAGAATCCACCTGAACCAGCACCTGCAAAGTAGGTGGTTACCCAGGTGAAAACTCAGCTGATTGCATATTACCCAAATCCCGGTAGGAGGAAAGAACGCTGCTACAACCTCACCTGTATCTTCATAAGAGAGAATTTGACCTGCTTTTCCACACAGCACCTGAACAAACACCTGACCCACCTGGCCTGGCCATGTCGCTGCTCACCTTGGCGGCAATCTCCCCGAGCGGCATGAGCGTGCTGCTCTGCGGGTCCAGCGCATCCGCCTGAGCCAGCACCTGAACCACCTGAACAAACTCCTGCCACCCCGCCGGCTGCATCCCCGCAATCCGCCTCCTCAGCGCCTCCACCCGCCTCCCCACCTTCCCCTCCTCATACTCACACCTCCCCATCTCCGTCACCTGCTGCTGCCGCCGCTTATACACCGCCGAAGCCTTTACTCTCTTTCTAATTTGTGATAGCTTCTGCTTGTGTGACTTGAGGGAGGCTTCGAGGGAGGAGAGTGAGGAGGGGAGGGTGAGGTGATTGGAGTCTTCTGAAGGGGAGAGGGGGGAGATGGGGGACCAGCCTTGGGGGAAGCGGATGGCGGAGGTGAGGTGGAGGAGGGGGGTTTTGGATTTGATTCGCCAGACGCTGAATGTGGGGTGAGGGGTGGATAGCCACGAGGCAAATTGTGATTCGCTTTCAGTGGTGCTGGTGGGTAAGGAGTCTCCTGCAGCTCCCAAATCCCGATCTCCCATTTTCCCAATCATTCCCTCGTTCCCATTCTCTCCCCACTTGCCCCTTCCACTTTCTTCTTCTCCTCCTCCCACCTCCGTTCTCTCCCCTTTTTCCCCTCCGCTCCCCCTGAGCCATCCCTGTAGCATCTCCGGCACAGGCGGCAGGAAACGTTTCAGCTTTGCCACCCGCTGCCACCCAGCCGTCTCATCTGCCTCGTCCTGCCGGCCCTCCGGCCAGAGGTACCTGCCAACGAGCTGCCGCCCGTCGGCCGCTGACATGGCGAGCTCCGATTGGTCGGTGGGGTTGTACTGCGCTCTGATTAGCTGGCGGATGCAGGGCGAGGGGAGGACGTACCAATGGGAATCCTCCCCTATAACTGCCACGTAGGACGGCGATGAGGAGAGAGAGGATGGGGAGGAAGAGGAGGAAGAAGAGGAGGATGATGGAGTGGTGCTGGTTCTACGGTCACTGTCATTTAGACCGCCTAATTGAGCCACCTTTTTCAGTCCTTGGGCCTCTCTCCCTTCCTCCTCCTCCTCCTCCTCCTCCTCCTCCTCCTCCTGCTCCCTTCCCCTCTCCCCTCCCTCTCCTCCCCTTCCACTATTCCGCAAACTCCTCTTTCCATCCCCCTTTCCCTTCACCACTCTTCCCTTCACCACTCTCCCCATATCACCGCCCTCCTCCTCCCCCACCCCTCCTTCCTCCGCCCAGTCCTCCCCCTCCTCCTGCAGGTACGGGGGAAGCGCCTCCAGCTGCCCAACCAGCAGCCCCCGAACCAACCGCACAGCCCCGGGCGCCAGGTCCGGGAGCTGCGCCGTTACCACGAGCCTGCGCCCCACAGGTGCGGGAGCGGGGCGAGCAGCACCATTCCCACCAGGCACAGTAAAATCAGGGGCACCATTCATCCCACTAGCGGCTGCTGAAGTTTCAACTGCAGGCAAATCATCAGAGGCAGCAGCGCCGTCTGTAGCGGCAGCAACGGCAGCAACAGCAACGGGTGCTTCGTGTGCCGCGTGAGCCTCTTGAGGCTCGTCAGCCTAGAGCAAGGCGTCCTGTATCTGGGGGTCAAGGGCAAATGCTCGCTGCTGAAACACTTGCCTCTGCAGTGTTGCCACCATGAGAATCCTGTACGAGAACAGGTGGTGGTGGCGGTAGCTGGCGTCCCTGGAACTGTTGGTTGGGGTCCTTATATTGCTTCAGTAGCTGAACATGGAAAGCGTTGTGAAGCTTCCACGTAGTAGGTAAGCGCAAGCAAGATGTTACTGGTGTCACCTGTGCCTCAACGTGAAAAGGACCACATAAGCGAGGCCGGAGCTTGGATGGTAGGTGAGACATGTTCAAGTTGCGCGTGTCGAGAAGCACCTGATCTCCGACTGCTACGGTGTGATCACGTCGCTGGCGATCGGCATACTGCTTCTGGGAGGTATGCATCGTGGTGAGGTGTCGCTGAGTCTTCTCCCATAGCTGCTGCATGGTGGTGACGAAGTCATGTGCGGCTTGGACGTGTGCCGGTGTGGTTGGCTGCTGTGGTGTAATTGGTTCTTGTCCGTAACACAGGAAGAAAGGAGATTTCCCTGTGGCCGCATGTGAAGCTTTGTTGTAAGCGAACTCAAGCGTCGGTAACTGTAGATCCCAGTAGCTGATGTCGTCTTTGCAAACTGTGCGCAGTCGCTCAGTCTGTTCGTCAGTCTGGGGGTGGTACGCTGAAGACATCGCAAACTTTGTCCCCATCAAACCCGTGAGTTCCCTCCAGAATTTACTTGTGAACTTTGGGTCTCTGTCCGAGATTATGCTGTGGATGGTGATGATGCGGTCGATGAAGAGGCGAGCAGTTGCTTCAGCTGTAACCGTGGCGTTGGTCGGAATGAAGTGTCCCATTTTATAGAACTTTTCGATCACCACGAGTATAGCGTCATGCCCTCGTGAGGTCGAAGGTAGCCCAGTGATGAAGTCTAGGCTAACGACTTGCCACGGCTGCTCCAGTACGGGTAGAGGCTGAAGTAACCCTGTTTTTTTCTGCTTGCTACTCTTCATCCGCTGGCACGTGTCGCAAGAGGTGACGAACTGCTGCACGCCTGCTGCCATCCAGGGCCAGTAGTAATACTTTGCTATTCCTGCTAATGTCTTGTTGCTCCCGAAATGTCCCGCGTATGCCACATCGTGGAACTCCTCCAGTAAGATCTGTCGGAGCAGGGCATAGTTCGGTACCCAAATCTTTCCTGTTCCCTTTCTTACAGCTAAGTCCTTCTCCCACTGCAACAGCTTCTGTTTTTCTACTGTAATCTCTGCGTCCATGGAGTACCCATGTTGGAATAGACCCTTGAGCAGAGGGTTCATCCCGTCGAGCTGGATGCCTACTACGTGACCGGGGCGGCTCAACGCATCTGCCTTGTTGTGTAGCCCGGGTTTGTAGATGATGTCGTAATGGAAGTGGGTCTCCAAGAAGTCCACCCACCGCACCTGTCGTCGTGAGAGTGTCGGCTGCGACTTCAGGTATTTGAGGTTGCAGTGGTCAGTGTAAACTGTAGTCTTGGCTCCCTCTAGATAACACCTCCACGCCTTGAAGGCTGTGACTATCGCTAAGGCTTCCTTGTCATGGATTGGGTAGTTCAGTTCTGCTCCGTGTAGCTTCTTACTGAGGTAGGCGATGGGCTGCAAACCGCGTCCGTGATCCTGCATCAGTACTGCTCCGACTGCTTGGTCACTAGCGTCTGCTTCCACCACGTAGTCCTTGTCTGGGTCCGGTAGGATGAGTACTGGCGATGTGGTCAGTGCTGTCTGTAGCTGCTCCATGGCTTGCTGTTGAGGAGTATCCCATTTGTAGGGCGTGTCTTTTTTCAGTAGGTTGGTCAGTGGTGCTGCTATCTTAGCGTACTACGGCACGAACATGTTGTAGTAGTTGGCAAAGCCTAGGAACTGCTGCAACTCCTTCACGTTCTCCGGTACTTTCCACTTCTTGACAGCTTCGATATTCCGCCGGTCCCAGTCTATCTCGGGGTTGAACCGCTTCAGGAAATCTCGCCCCAAGATGAAATCTAATCCCTTGATGTTCGTGATCGGCAACGTCGGCTTCCACGTCAACGACCCTATCTGCAGCTGCAATGTTGTCTCGCCGTGGATGGGAAGCTTCGTACCGTCCACCATCGTTGCTGTAAATTGGGTCTCCTCTGAGGATTCTCCAATTTTCTCCAACGTCCCGCGGTCGCACACCGAGTGGGACGCACCACTGTCCACTAGTGCCTGGAGGCGTCGCCCGTTGCAGATCACCTCGAGGAGTAGTGGCTGCTGCTGCTCTGAGTAGCCGTAGATGGTCTCGCTTACAGGATCATAGGGTACGTCAAATATATCGTCCTTAGGTCTTGCGCTCAAAGCTGCTGACTCAATGTCAGGTTTCACCTGAGTAGGGCTAGAAGGATTTATCCTAGGCTAGTACAGCTTCTCCTGTGCCTGGAACCTTCCCCTAAGCCTTTGCAGCTGTGTAGGCTTCACCTGTGGGGAACGGCGGGGAGCCTTAACACCGTGCTGCTGGGAGAGAATATTAATTCATCGGAACACTCGACCCTTATCAACGCTCCGGAATGGGGTCCCCATATTACCCGGTGCCTGTTTAATTTCTGAGTCTCCCTTATTAAAGGCTTGGAAACCACGAGAAGTAATATTCTTACTTGTCGAGGTGTACGGCTGGAGTTTCCCAGTCGGTGCAGGGTCTTGTTTCGCGGAGTCTCCTTTTGTCTCGGCGATTTCCCCTGGTGCCGGCTGGTCGTGACGTTTTAAAATCGCGCCATCATTTTCTCCTTTTTTCGCCCTTTCCGAAGTTGCCACGTTGTCCGTTTTCTGCTTCGGGGGCGTCGCACTGTTCTTGCCCTTCAGCTCCGCACGTCTTTTCTTCATTTTCCAACACTCCAAGATACGATGTCCTGTAGCGCCACAAAATTTGCACGTCTCATTGTTTGCTAGCCGCTGAGTCGCATCGTCCTTGTCGTTCTCCATCGGGTCGGCAGTCGTGGGTGGTGCCGATCGCTCCATGCCACTATTTGGCTTGTTGCGCCGTGTTCCGTAGTAGCTACTGTTCAACGCGTCGAACTGTTCGATTAGTGCTGCCCGAAATTGCGTCCACGTCCCTTCGCCTTGGACAAGTTTGTTGTTGATCCACTCTAGAGCTGGGCCACGTAACAGTGTTGCTGCGAGGAGTATGCGCATTGCGTCTTTTGTCGGGGTCGTGCATCCAACGACTTCGAAGTAAATTTCGAGTTCAGCTACAAATCGACGAGCGTCACTCCCTTTAACTGTAGGATTGAACGTCTCTGGTTGCCTCGGCTTCGTTGCTTCGAGGTTAACTGTAGCTGCTGCCGTTGTCGCAGGTACAATTGTCGGTGTCGCCGCCGCTGCTGCTGCGGAATCGACGAGCTCGAAGTCTGTACGCCGGGCAATTCTCCCTTAGTTGAAATTCGCGTCCGATCTCGGCCGTTGAGAAGAAACTCGATCCGACGCTCCAAATTCCAACCTTTTTGGGCGAAATTCTCTGGGCCGTTGAGATTCGAATCGACCTGACGGTCGAAATTCCAACTTTTTTGCAAATAATCCTGAGGGGTGTTTGAAAACCGGATCGAGGGGGACTTAGGAAAATTTGCGCGGAACTGATTTTACATACCCGTATCGGCGCTTTCGTCGTCGCCCCCGCGGTTTTTAAAGGCCGGTTTTAAGCGGTTGAAGACCTCGCGTATAAACCCGCTCTGATTACCAAGTGTGAGGATCTGGTCCAGGAAAGAGAAATCTATTGAATGATTCACCTGGGTACAAGGCGAAGCTGTATATAGGCTCGACACAAGGCAGGTAACCCAGGTGTTACGCGAATGTTCTGAGGGTCGCGAAGCGTCCCGAACAGAACCTTCCCGAACTCGGTAGAAAGCAATTCGGTGGGAACCGAAAAGGCTTGAGTTCGGTACACGTAACCTGGTTCGGTGCTATAATTATAATAACATATAGGAATGCACCTAACCTAGGAAATCAAGCATATCTATGCATGATAAATAAAACCTAAGCTAGTAATAGCATAATAATGTCCAGGCAAACTAGCAAAGCCAGCATAAGCCGTCGTACTCTCACACTCGGCGTCGTCGTACGCCAAGTCGTCGTCGTCGATGACGTACACCGTGGTGAAGGCGGCCGGTATGAAGAAGTCAGGTGGCCTCCGAAATCGGCCTGTACGCCGTGGTCCTGGCTGGACCTCCACCACATCGTTGTCGCTGGACTCCTCGGCGTCCCCTCCATTGTCACCGGCTTCGCTGCCCTCGTCGTCCTGCTGCACCTCGGTCGGCTTCCCCGCCGACTTCTCCCCTGTGGTCGGCCTCCCTACCGACTGCCCAGTCGCCGACTGCTCCGTGGTCGGCGTCGCTGCTGCCTGCTCCCCTGTCGCATGCTGCCCTGCTGGTGCCTTCTTCGCCGGCTTCACCAAAGTCGACTGCAACTCCTCAGCCTGATCCTCCCCTGCAGGCGTCGACTTCACTCTCATGTCGACTTGCTGGACGTCACGTCGGCCACCGGATATGCTCTTGGCCGGCGCCACGGGCGACGCCCCACTTCTCCCCTCATCACCGGAGGCCAACACCGGACTCATCCCACGCAGGTCGGCCACAAGGGGAGGGGCAGGAGAGGCAGGGGAGGGGAAGGGAGAGGTGACATCCTCGACGTCCTCAGCAGCAAGCTCACTGTGTCAAACATTATACATGTTCCTATTGTGTAGGCTATAGTGGGTTTAGCCTTAGGGGGTACAACATTGTTAGGGTTTCCTACTTGTATCACCCTGCTGACTAGTTTCATCCATTCTCGTTCAGTTCTAGATTCTAACATGGTATCAGAGACCTAGGTCAGGACCTAGGACCGACGTTGGTTAGGGCCCACCGTT